GGCACTTCTAGAAATTTCACAGCAACTCTTGATCTCCTAGAAGGGCAGGCGGGGAGACAGGGCCCATGCTCCCTCAAGAGGTTCCCCCTCCGGGGGTGGGTACAGGAGGGCAGAGCCCTTGAATGTGGGGCTGCCAGGACCGTGACTCCCACCCACCCTCGTGGCCTCCTGGGTCCTGCCCTGGTCTGTCCTCCCCACACCCCTGAGGTCCAAGGGGCAGTGTCGGGAGCATTGCCAAGGGCTTGCACCCGCCCTGGGTCTGACCGCTACCAAAGTGAGGAGGGGCCTGTCCTGGGGCCTCAGCCTGGGGGCAGACGGCTGCTGCAGCTCCTTGCATGTAGGTCCAAGGAAAAGTGAGCGGGAGGGCTCAGGTCTGGGATGTTCCACCAGGAGGAACCCGGCCCAGGGCCTAGGTGTCAGGAGGGCTCTCCTAAGACAGCCCCGGGCCTCCCGGCCCCTCCACCTGCCCCCAACCCTCGACTCAGGCTCCTGGTCCACCTCAAGGCCCCCCAGCCCTCCCCGCCCTGGGCAGTGCCACATTCTAGCAGTTATTTGCTCTAGGCCTCCCTGACCAGCTCCTTTTTATTTTTCCTGAGAGATGGTGTCACTCTGTCACCCAGGCTGGAGTGCAGTGGTACAATCACCTGGGGTTCCCCGTAGCCTCGACCTCCTGAGCTCAGGCTTGTCCCTCCTCCTCTGTAAGAGCCTTCTGTAGCTGGAACTCTAGGTGCGTGCCACCACACCTGGCTATTTTTAATTTTTTGTGGAGACAGTCTCACTATGTGTGCCCAAGCTGTTCTCAAACTCCTGGGCTCAAGCAATCCTCCCACCTCGGCCTCTCAAAGTGCTGGGATTCCAGGCGTAAGCCACTGCTCCCGGCCCTGGACCAGCTCCTTGAGGCATTATTTTTCATTCCTCTGCGTTGCTTGGGTGGGTGTAGGGGTGGACACACCTACCACACGGGCAGCCTCAGGGTCCCAGACAGTCAGCGACACCGCAAGGGACCCAGGCCGAGGATAGGGGCCTTGGCAGGTCACAGGCGCTCAGAGGCAGCAGAACAGGGCCTAAACCCTGATGACTCAGGAAAGCAGCCAGCGCGAAGCCGCATAGCGAGGGGGCCAACGCGCCGGGCCAGGTGGGCAGAGCCCCGGTCACTGGTCAGCGACGTGCCTGCCATCTGGGTCCAGGCACGCTGCCCTGCACGCCTGTCACCTCTGCCTCCATGTGGGTGAGAGCACCTAGGTGCTGAGGCAAGAGGCTGAAGGCACAAACTGTTTCAGTATAATAAAGAAAATAGCTAGAATAAGAATAGTCATAATACAAATTAGATATAGAGATGATCATGGACAATTATCAATCATTATTATAAACATTATTAATCATTAGCTTTTACTATTACTCTTTGTTGCATTTCATGCTCCTCCCGTACTCCTGCTTCCTCTTTGAAGTTCGTAGTAGATAGCAGTAAAAGAAATAGTGAAAGTCTTAAAGTCTTTAATCTTTCTTATAAGTGCAGAGAAGAAAACGCTGACGTATGCTGCCTTCTCTCTCTGCTTCAGCTACCGAAAAGGGAAGGGCCCCCATCCTGTAATCACATGACTGACTTCACCTTGTCAATCACTTAGAAGATTCACCCTCCTTACCCTGCCCCCTTGTCTTGGATGCAGTAAGTATCAGTGAGCCCAGCCGTTCGGGGCCACTACCGGTCTCCGCGTCTTGATGGTCGTGGTCCCCAGGGCCCAGCTGCTTTCTCTTTCTCTCTTTATCTTGTGTCTTTATTTATCACAATCTCTCATCTCCACACACAGGGAAAACACCTGCTAAGCCCTGTAGGGCTGGACCCTACACCTCCACACAGCCAGGGTCCTGACGGACGTCTTCAGGGACCTGCGGGGTCACAGGAGCCCCAAATCCCAAACCCTTCCTCTGGGGCCTGAGTCCACAACCGTCAGACACCCCTGGATCCCAACCACTTGCCCTTCTGCTTATAGGAAACTGGCTCTCCCAGGGGCTCTCCCAGGGGCCAGCCGTCCTGCGGGAGTGAAGGGACGGGCAGTGTCCTCCCCCACACTGCACTCTCCCTGGGGCTGAGACCACCAGGCCCGCAGCTTCTCCCCTCTCCCCTGCTGTACACAGGCAGCTCTGGCCCTGCCTGGGGCCCCTCCCGCCACTCCCCTGGCCCCCTGCTCAGCCTCAGCCCAGGGGCCCTGGTTGTGTAACATCTTCTCACGTTGCAGCAGCTTAGAGGTCTTAATGTGACGATCGCCAGCTTCTGATCCAAACACAAAGGCCCCCCTCAGCACCTCCCCCGTCCCAACAACCCTGGCCGGAGCCGCTGCAGAAGGAACGGGGTCAGAACCCGCCTTCCTCCCCACACAGTTGGGCTCTGCACTGCTCCTTCCGTGTGGACGCAGGTCTTGTCAGAGCCTCCGGCTGGGAGGCTGGGCGGTGCAGAACTCTGCACACACCTGACCACAGACACGCATCACCGTCACGTGGCCGCTGGGGGAGCTGTCTCGGGGCACCAAGGCCGGCGGCCTCATGCAGGTTCACCGAGCTCTCCCGCATCAGTCACTCGGAGTCTGTTAACCTGCGGGTTGCGAGGCACACAGTCCGCCTGGATGTGACCGGGTCTTACCAGATTTTCCTGTCAGGTAGAGAAACACAACAGGTTTCCGGCATGCGAACACTCCTGGCCTCCCGGCCACCACGCGGTGTGGGTTTTCCTCACGGCAGACAGGCCGTTCCTCGGGCCAGCCAGGTGTCTCTGGCACCTGCTTTGCCTGGCTGTGCTGTATTTCACGTCATCTAAAGGCACAAAAGGAAAGCCTGAGAGGGTTTTAAGAAGCCCCTCCCCATTGCTGGATAAACTGGAGGTGAACATGGCAGGGCGAGGCAGCAGTGGAGATGGTGGGACCCAGCCACGGAGCTCCAGGAACAAGTGCCCATGGCTGGCGGCGGGGCTGGCACTGGCAGGACGTGCCCGGCACTGGTCTGCTCCAGCCCAATGGTCACCGGAGCCTCCTGGAGCCAGATCCCCGGGAAAGAGCAGCCACAGCCTCTTCCTCCCGCAACAGTCCTGGGACTGTCTGCTTCCCCAGTCCCCAGAGGCCCAGTGGCAGGCAGTGTGGACACAGAGGTCCTGCTCTCCCAGGGTCCAGAGGGCACTAGAGGGAGGAATTCCTCCTCCGCCCTCTGCAGGCACTGCCAGCCGGTGTCCCTTAGCAGGCGAGGCCAGGCCTCTGTACCATAGCCCGTGCTGAGCCCAGATCCTCACAGGAAGCCTGGGGCTCTGGGCTTTTCCCTGTCACCCGGCTGGCCTCTCCAACAACAGGAGTGAGCATTTAGACCATGGCCAGGGCAGAGGGGGCCCTTAGGAGGGCGATGGACCCCAGGTCTGAGAATCACAGGTCCCTACCCAGGGGTGGGATGTGGGGTTGTGTGGCCAGCATGGGCAGAAACTTGAAAGCCCCCAAGCCACCCCTGGGCCAGGAGCAGCCACCCAGGACAGGAAGGCAGGTGCACAGCCAGGGTCAGAAGGTCAGCAAGTCACCCTGGCCTGTAGCCTACCCAGCAGGGACCATGTGCCCGGTAGCAGAGCTGGAGGAACAAGCGGAAAAACGGCCAGCCCCCAACCAGAGGTCAGAGGGAAGAGCAGGAGCTACTGGCTGACCTCGGGGCACACGGGCAGATGCTGTGGGGCTTTGTGTCAGGCACCCATGCAGCCTAAGTTCTGCTCTGTGCAACAGATACTGTAGGGCTGCCCATGGGTAACCCAGCCTGGGATGGCAGAAGAGTGGCCATAGCTCAGAGACAGAGCCGGGCCTTGGCCAGAGAGGCAGGACAGCCCCAGGTGCCCCCACGCACAGCAGGGAGTAGCTCAGGCATTGGAACCCACTGGTTCTGCTGGGCCAGCGTGAGGGGCATGAAAGTGCCCCTCATTTGTGCCTTAAAAGCATGCTGGATCGGCTGGACACAGAGGCTTAGGCCTGTAATTCCAACACTTTGGGAGGCTGAGGTGGGAGGCTGCTGGAGGCCAGGAGTTCAAGACCAGCCTGGGCAACACAGGGAGACCTCATCTCTACAAAAAAAATTTTTAAATTATCTGGGCATGGCCAGGCGTGGTGGCTCACGCCTGGAATCCCAGCACTTTGGGAGGCCAAGGCAGGCGGATCATGAGGTCAGGAGATCGAGACCATCTGGCTAACATGGTGAAACCCCATCTTTACTAAAAATACAAAAAATTTGCCGGGCGTGGTGGCAGGTGCCTGTAGTCCCAGCTACTTGTGAGGCTGAGGCAGAAGAATGGCGTGAACCCGGGAGGTGGAGCTTGCAGTGAGCCGAGATCACACTCTAGCCTGGGTGACAGAGTGAGACTCTGTCTCAAAAAAAAAAAAATTATCTGGGCATGACGGCTCACACCTGTACTCCCAGCTACTCACGAGGCTGAGGTGGGAGGATCACTTGAGCCCAGGAGGTTGAGGCTGCACTGAGCTGACTGTACCCCTGCACTCCAGCCTGGGTGACAGTGAGATCCCTGTCTCAAAAAAAAAAAAATAATGCTGGACGAAGGCCCCCACCCCACCCCCGAGAACCTCCACCAGGAGGATGTGGCTGGTCCAGAGGCCCCAGCTGGGCAGGCGGGCTCTGCAGGGCGGTGAGTCAGAGGTACTTTTCCCCCTCTGAGCAGGATCCGAGATCCTAGACGCCCACAGAGACAGGAGGGGCCCACGGATCCACCTTGGTCAGGTACAGCCACCGAGGGCCTCCAGGACCACCAAGGGTTACAAGGTGCCCGTTCCATGCCCAGGCCTGCCCTGTGAAGCCGGTGGGAGCTCAGCTGCCACCAGGACAGTGCATGGGGACAGGGGGTACAGTGACAGTCACAGTAGCGTCAGGCCCGGCCACACCATGGCCCAGGGGTCCGGGGGTTGCAAACGGGATGCACAGGCCCTTCATGACGGGCTTCGCAAGATGATTTCCAGTAACAGAAGCAAAGAGAAGGTTGTAACCAATTCAGATTTTTTACTGGACGTTCATGACAGAAAGAGATACGCGTCCAGCTGCATCGCCCAGCCCATCCGCTACCCGGGGCAGCTGACGAGCAGAAACGCACTCTGCAGTGGCTCCTGTCTGCGCCGGGGCCCTCGCCCACAGCACCACGTTCCTCACAGAAGCAGAACCTGAGACTCAGAGCACAGCTCGCCCTGATAACTGTCTTCCCAGCTGGCAGCCTCTAGAAGACGGGGGAAATGACACGTTCCTGTCACTCAGGCCCAGACACAAGCCACAGTCACCCCTCCTGAGGGCGTCCACGGCCTGAGGGACCTGGCTCCATTCAGCAGAGCCATAGCGCTCCGGTCATCTCGGCAACCCACAATCACGGCCCGCGTGGTCCTGCCCACAGTCCCCCGCTGCCCACACACTGCCCGGGGAACCAGCAGCAAATAGGCGGAAGAACCACCCAGTGCCAGCTCCCCAGGCTGCAGCAGGCAAGGTGGAGCCAGGGACCACCACCAGGCAAGTGAGACCCAGCCCCGCTTCCACCCTGGCCTGTCCAGGATGGCCGCAGAGGCCCCACCTCGCCCTGCAAAGGAGGGAGCCTGCCTGCCGAGTTCCCTGCTCTGCCAGATGCTCCTGCCCGAGGGCCTGTGTCCAGCAGTTCCCCAGTGCGGGCTCCCAGTACCTCTGACTAGGTGCCTGGTCCCCCGCCCACTGCCGGCTCATCACTCAGAGCCACTGCCAACGCTCCCGCCCGAGAGCCATCCGCTGACCCCCAGCGGGCCTTGGCAGCAGTGGGAGTGGCCGTCAGGCCTGGCTGGGCAGCGTCTTGTAGGGGTTGAGGATGCCTTTGGGGTCCAGCAGGGCCTTGAGCTGCTGCATAAGCTGCAGGGCCTCGGGTGGCTTGCTGTAGCCCAGCACATCTCTCTTCCTGAAGCCCACGCCATGCTCTGCGCTGACACTGCCCTGCTGTCTGGCCGTCCACTCGTACACGTGGGGCTCCAGGGCGCCCAGGAGCGACGGGCTGAAGGCCTCTGCCGTCACGTTGAGGTGCAGGTTACCATCTCCTGGAGGGACAAAGGTACACAGATCAGGCTGGGCGGGGCAGCCCCCAAAACTCCACTCCTCCCCCAACAGCCCCTCCCAAGATCCCCTCCCTAGCAACCCTCAGACCCCCGGCTGAGCCTCACCCTCATGTCACCCACCCCGGACGTGCTGACCCCTCCTCTGGGGCTACTGCTACCTTGGCTTCTCCCTGCTTCTTTCCCCAAGTTCTCCCCCCTCTTCCTACTCCCTCTGCCCAGGGCTCCCATCTCCCCAGGCGGAGAGTGACCACATAAGCAACTGCATGGCCTGCCTGCCACTGCCTCCCTCCTGACCTGGAAGAGCCCAGACAGTCTCCCAGTCTGTACCCCCAGCACCCGGTCAGATGGAAGGGTCCGCAGTGGCGCCCAGGGCAGCTCTATCTGGATGCCCCCACCCCGCGGACATCTCCCCTGGAGCTGCCCAGCCAGTGCCCACTGCAGACAAAGCCCTGGCTCCCAGCCGCCTCCTCTCTGGTCCACTCACCCCACACTGAGCCCCCAGGGTGGTGGCTCTCCAAGCACACCCTGGTCCTGGCCCACCCCACGCACAACCTCCTCTTCTGACCTCAGAGGTCAAGAAGGCAACGGCTCAAAGAGGCTGGGGAGAGCCAAGGTCAGAGCCAAGTGAGGATCTCGCCCCACCTCCGGGCCAGGAGGAGAGGGAGCCAGACACCAGCTCGAGGGCTGCCCAGACGAGACCAGTGGCTTTTAACGCAGAGCTGCACACTGAGGAGGAGCCCCAGAGGTAAACCGGGACGCACCACCCCCAACTGTGCCATGCTGGGGTGAGGGCTGTTTTCCCACAAAGGCAACCGAGAAGCGGCAGATCCAAGAAAAGCTCCCCCGACTCAGGTCCTGCCTAAGAGCAGCACAGGAATGACAAGGGCAAAGACCGTCCCTCCACCAGAACCGACAAAGGTAAAGGCAGCTTCAGGCCCAGCCGTCCTCTGCCACCTCCCTGCCTCCTCCAAGATGCCTCCCGGAGACTCGCAGTCCATGTCCTGTCATGTGACGTCCCTAAAACTTGACTGTTTGTTGAGGACGCCACATGGGCCTGAATTCACAGCCAGCTCTTTGAGAATCCCTCATTCCCTGGCCACTCCCAAGCAGACATGAAACACACGTTGATGAGCCTCCATATTTGTCCTATGAATCTGCCTGTAGCTGCAGGGTCCATCCCAGCTGGGAACTAGAAAGGGTAGATAGAAAAAGATTTCTCCACCCCTGCGAGAACAAACCCGAGGCAGGGAGTACAGCAGGGACCCCGCCCACAGTCCCCACCCCTCCCACAGTCCCCACAGACGCCTGCTCAGGCCAGAGACGGAGGGACTTGCCCAGGGAGGACTGGTTGTGAAAGAGAAAAACCACATCCACAGAAAATGTTCGTTTTGCTTTGTTTTTTTGAGACAGGGTCTCCCTCTGTCACCCAGGCTGGAGTGCAGTAGAGCGATCCTAGCTCACTGCTTCAACCTCCTGTGCTCAAGCAGTCCTCCTACCTCTGCCTCGTGAGTAGCTGGGACTGCAGGCATGTACCACCATGCCTGGCTAATTATTTTTTTTACAGAGACGGTGGGGTGTCTCACCATGTTGCCCAGGCTGGTCTTGAACTCCTGACCTCAAGCAGTCCTCCCACCTCGGCTTCCCAAAGCGCTGAGATTACAGGTGTGAGCCACGTGCCTGGCATCCAGAGTATGTGAATATAGTCACGCTTCATAACAATGTTTCACCCAATGTCGGACCACAGAGATGATGTTGGTCCCATAACATTAAAATGGAGCTGAAAAATTGCCATCATCTTAATTATGACGTCACCATGTTGTAGCACAATTACTTGTTTTTTTTTTTAGACGGAGTTTCGCTCTTGTTGCCCAGGCTGGAGTGCAATGGTGCAATCTCGGTTCACCGCAACCTCTGTCTCCCAGGTCCAAGCAATTCTCCTGCCTCAGCCTCCTGGGAGCAGCTGGGATTACAGGCACCGGCCACCACGCCCGGCTCATTTTGTATTTTTAGTAGAGATGGGGTTTCTCCATGTTGAGGCTGGTCTCAAACTCCTGACCTCAGGTGATCCACCTGCCTCAGCCTCCCAAAGTGCTGGGATTACAGGCATGAGCCACCGCGCCTGGCCAATTACTTGTTAATATCAGTTTAGGGTAGCCTCAGTGTGCAGTGTTTATAAAGTCTAGAGTAGGGGTCCAGTCATTTCCTAGGCCTTTGCAATCCCTCACCCCTCACCCACGGCTTCGCCAGAGCAACCTCCAGTCCCGCGAGACACACCCATGATGGGCACCCTACACAGGTGTGGCATTCTTACCTTTTATACCATATTTTTATGGTCCCTTTTCTAGGATTAGCTTTTGTGTTCAGGCACATAGCACCGTTTCACAACTGCTTCCGGCATTACGTGGATGACGGCTGTGGTTTGTCACCTGGGGTAATGGCAACACCACACAGCCTTGGTGTGGAAGAGGCTGTCCCATCTGGGTGTGAGTGCCCTCCGTGATGCTAGTGCAAAACGAAACCACCTAATGACACATTTCTCAGGACGCATGCCCGTCATTAAGCAGCACCCAACTGTATTCCCGACCAACGGCCAGCCTGTACCCGGGTCTGCAGCCGAAACGCACGCTGCCTCGGGTCCCAAACCCAGCTGAGAACGTGCCGATTAAAGAGGTTCCGGGCGGGGCCCCAGGCCCTCACCCTCTCCACCCACTGCAGAAGCAAACCACCTCCCCTGCAGGCCTCAAATAATTCCTGCAGATAAAGACCTAACGAACATGAGCTCATACCAACAACACGCACACAAGAAGACAAACCACCACGGGCAAGGTCAGAATCAGACCCACAAACACCTCAGACGCCGTCATTTCCAGACACAGAACACAAAGGTGTCATATGTAAAGAAATAAGGGACAAAAATATAAAACCACAAAATCTGACCAAGCAGTTTTTAAATATCCACGCCAATCTTCTGGATGTGAAACGCATCATGGCTGGCCTGTGGACCTGAACAGACAGGTCTGACAGCCGATCACACACAGCAGAGGACGCCAAGCCGGAGACACTGCAAATAGCATCCAAATGCGAGAGGCGGGAGGCGGGACCCCGGCAGCGGCGGACAAGAAACAAGGGGCTTGGACTGAGTTCCAGGAAGAGAAGAGAGGGAGGGGAGACACGGTGTTTGAAGAGGCTCTGGTGGCTGAGGAATTTCTAAAGCCAGCAAGACCCCAAAGCCCCACAAGTGCCAGGCAGGTAAAAGACACTCACCCGGCCCAACCAGAGTGAAACTGCAGAACCCCAAAGACGGCGGACGGAAGGAGCTGAAAGCAGCAAGCAGGAAAAAGCCGGCCGGGCGCGGCGGCTCACGCCTGCAATCCCAGCACTTCGGGAGACCGAGACGGGTGGATCACGAGGTCAGGAGCTGGAGACCAGCCTGGTCAATATGGCGAAACCCCGTCTCTACTAAAAATACAAAAATTAGCCGGGCATGGTGGTGCACACCTGTAGTCCCAGCTGCTCAAGAGGCTGAGGCAGGAGAATCGCCTGAACCCGGGAGGCGGAGGTTGCAGTGAGCCGAAGTCGCACCACTGCACTCCAGCCTGGGGGACAGCGGGACTCCATCTCAAAAACAAAGAAAGAAAGAAAGAAAAAGCGGATCCCCTCCATTCCTCCGAAGGGAACTGCCCTGCACTGAGGCTGTCTCGGCAACAGCAGACATCGAAGAGAGGACAGAAGCTCCCCTCTGCCACTGGGAAGCGACTGTCAACCCAGAACCATTGAAATCCACTGAGGAAACGACATTTTTATCAACTAAATCATTTCCAGACAAATAAACCTGTGCTGCTCCGTCACCTATTTTCCATGCCAGGGAAATTCTGGAGGCTGAGATTCAAGCAGAGGCCGTGCGCAGACTGGCTACGCAGAGTCAGGACAGTAACATGGTGACAGGGTGATGCGTGGCTGAACAAGGCAGGACCAGAATACACCCCCAAACAGCAGGCAGGTGCCCCTCAGCATCCCTGGGGGCCTGGATACAGGACCCCTCGGATATCAAAATCCTCAGATGCTCAACTCTCTGACAGGAAATGGCGTGGGATTTGCATATAAACTACATACATCCTCCCGTATCCTTTTTTTTGCTTGAGACGGAGTTTTGCTCTTTTGCCCAGGCTGGAGTGCAGTGGCACAACCTCGGCTCACTGCGACCTCTGCCTCCCAGGTTCAAGCGATTCTCCTGCCTCAGCCTCCCAAGCAGCTGGGATTACAGGCACATGCCACCAAACCTGGCTAATTTTTGTATTTTTAGTAAAGATGTGGTTTCACCATGTTGGCCAGGCTGGTCTCGAACTCCTGACCTCCGGTGATCCACCCACTTTGGCCTCCCATACTGCTGGGATTACAAACGTAAGCCACCGTGCCTGGCCCCTCCCGTATACTTTAAATCACCTCTAGATTACTTACGTTGCCTGGTACGATGGAAATGCTGTCTGTCACTGTTACACTGCATCATCTTTATTTTTTATTGTTGCATTTGTATTGTTTTTTTTTTTTTTTTTTTTTGAGACGGAGTCTCACTCTGTCGCCCAGGCTGGAGTGCAGTGGCCGGATCTCAGCTCACTGCAAGCTCCACCTCCTGGGTTTACGCCATTCTCCTGCCTCAGCCTCCCGAGTAGCTGGGACTACAGGCGCCCACCACCTCACCCGGCTAGTTTTTTGTATTTTTTAGTAGAGACGGGGTTTCACCGTGTTAGCCAGGATGGTCTCGATCTCCTGACCTCGTGATCCGCCCGTCTCGGCCTCCCAAAGTGCTGGGATTACAGGCTTGAGCCACCGCGCCCGGCCTACTGTTGTATTGTTATTTTTATGGTTGAATCTGATGTGAAGCCCGCAAATACAGGGGCTAACCATAGACCAGGGGGAAAACGACAGCCAAAGTGACGGGGCCCTGAAGTCCTCACGCTGTGCAGCCATCAGGGCCCCTAGAGAGGCAGAACCAGCAGGATGTGTGTGTACAGAGAGAGCGAGCAAGAGAGTGAGATTACACATATTTAGAGGAAGATACAGAGAAAGACGGAGCGACGCAGAGACACAGGTAGATGACAGACACTGATTTTAATGAACTGGCTCATGGGACTGAGGGAGCTAAGTCTAAAATCTGAAGTCCAGGTCAGCAGGCTGGAGATCCCAGCAGGAGCTGGTGCTGCAGCTCGAGTCTCCATCTGGGTCAGAATCCCCTCTTCCTTTGCGCTTGTGGCCTTCGACTGACTGGGTAAGGCCCACTCACACTGTGGTGGGAGATCTCCTGTACCCAACATCTACTGATTTAAATGTTAATCACACATAAAAAATACCTTCACAGAAACATCCAGACTGGAGTTGGACCAAACGAGGGTACCAGGGCCCAGCCAAGCGGACACAGAGAATTCACCATCACACGTTGTTTGGGAGGAAGGTCGTGACTCTGATTAACCTCAAACCCAGAGGGCTAGAAACGCCCGCTATGCTGCTAAGGCGACCACCAACAGCTAGTAAATGGCAAAAAGCTAAATGACAAAGAACATAAACCACAAGAAGAGCAAAAACCAGAGGAAACAAACAGACAAGAAGTGAGAGACCAAGAGCAGGGTGAAGTAAACAAACCCAAACAATGCGCCGCAGGACCTGCTCAGCAGCCAAACGCTCTCATTCGAGACGGCAAACAAGTACGCGAAAAACCTGTCCGGGGGCGTCCACAAGAAACACGTCTAAATCATTACGGATAGAAAAGCTGAAAGTAACAGGAGGAAAAACAACATGTGAGGCAAACACTAAATAAAAGAAAGTTAGCATCACCGTGTAATAAACAAAGGAGACACCAAGGCAACGCGCAATGCTGGAGACAAAGCGTGAGTTCAGCGCGATAAGAGATTCAGTTTCCCAGAACGAAGAGACGAACCTCATGTCCTGTGCCCCTAAGACCACGACTCCAGAACTGGCAAAGCTACAGGAGGTACAGATGAGTCTGTTGTCAGCGGATTCTAACACCTCCCTCAGGGAGTGGCAGGTCAGCAGGATGCAGAATGAGCACACGACGTACACGTTTTATCTGATGGATCTGTACAAACACTGATTCCACCACCTGCAGAGAGCACAGTGTTTTCAAGCACTCCACGGTTACGAAAGCTGATCACAAGCTGGCCACGGATCAAGTTTCCAAAATCTGATCTGATAAGGGCCAAGTTTCCTGGGTATAATGCAATAAAAAAGAAATCAGTAATTTTAAAAATAACTAGAAAACTACCACATTTGGAAATTAAGAAATACACTTCTGCATAACTCGTGGGTCAAAGAAGAAATGATAATGCAAGCAGCAAATGATGCTAGGCACAGTACCTCACGCCTGTAATCTTTGGCTTTGAGAGGCCAAGGAGGGAGCCTTGCTTGAGGCCCGGAGTTCAAGACCAGCCTGGCCACACAACTGGCTCTACATGACTCTGGATCTACAAATGTGTGTAGTGTAGATCAGATCTCACTGTGTTGCCCAGGCTGATCTAGAACTACTGGACTCCAGTGATCCTCCCACCTTGGCTTACCGGAGTATTGAGATTACAGGTGTGAGTCACCAAACTGGGCCTACAAAAAAATTTTTTTTTAGTTAGCCAGGGCTGCTGGCGTGTGTGAGGTGGCAGGCCTGCTTGATCCCAAAAGGTCGAGTCTGTGGTAAGGCACTGCACTCCAGCCTGGGTGACAGCGAGACCCTGTCCCCTGAAAAAAAAAAAAAAAGGGTGTGGGGGGCATCCCACAAATGCTAGATACAAAGAAAACAAAAGAATATTTGAACAACTTTATGCCAATATGGAAAAAAACAAAACAAAACAGAAAAACCAATCTAGAAGAAAGGAAAACTAGAAAGTCCCATAGCTATTGAAGAAATTGAGCTATAATTTTAAAATACTCCCCCCAAGAAAACCTCCAGGCCCAAACAGCTCCACTGGCAAGTTCTGCATAATATTCATGTTATGATTTTGATACCAAAATCCAGCATAGACAGAAGAAAGGAACAGTGTGGAACAGAATCACCCACCAAGACCCCTGTCAAAATCCCACACCAAACATAAACTCATCTAGCACGATACAAAGAGGATGACGGCCACCTTGGGCCTACCCCAGAAACACAGACTCATCTGCCTCCAGAGGGATCAGTAGACAAGCACCTGGTCACCATGGTAGATGCAGGAAAAGCATTTAAAAAATTCAACATTCATTCTTGCTTTTTTTTTTTTTGAGATGGAGTTTCACTCTTGTTGCCCAGGCTGGAGTGCAATGGTGCAATCTCTGCTCACTGCAACCTCCGCCTCCTGGGTTCAAGTGATTCTCCTGCCTCAGTCTCCCGAGTAGCTGGGGTTACAGGTGCCCACCACCATGCCCAGCTATTTTTAGTAGAGACGGAGTTTCATCATGTTGGCCAGGCTGGCCTCAAACTCCTGACCTTAGGTGATCCACCAGCCTCAGCCTCCTCAAGTGCTGGGATTACAGGCATAAGCTGCCACGCCTGGCCTAAACTACATTTAATATGTTGAATAAATAAAAGAAAAGATAGTGGAAGTAATCAAAAAGATAAACAGTATCAGAAGAGAATCAGGCGTGAGCCACTGTGCCCGGACTTTTTTTTTTTTTTTTTGAGATGGAGTCTCACTCTGTTACCCAGGTTGGAGGGCAGTGGCACGATCTCGGCTCACTGCAACCTCTGCCTCCTGGGTTCAAGCGATTCTCTTGCCTCAGCCTCCCAAGTAGCTGGGATTACAGGTGCACGCCACCACGCCCAGTTAATTTTTTCCATTTTTAGTAGAGGCGGGGTTTCACCATGTTGGCCAGGCTGGTCTCGAACTCCTGACCTCACGTGATCCACCCGGCTCAGCCTCCCAAAGTGCTGGGATTACAGGCGTAAGCCACTGCGCCCGGCCCATTCTTGCTTTCACAAAGTAACAGGGGGCTCATTCAATTTCTGACCAAGGTGATCTGCTTTATCTGTGGCCAAGAGAGGCTGAAGTTACCTGCAGAGCAGGAAACCTCCTGGCTCGAAGTCATATTTTGAATTACTGGGGCTCCCGTACCTCTCTTCTCTGGATGACACACCCATCAAGCCCTTACCCCCTTACCATTCAGGAGTCCTGCCTTCCTATCACAGAAGATTACCATCCAGTCTATGACAAGTCCTCTAGACGTACCCATCCCGCAGGTGGGGTAACTTTGGGTACGTTACTTAAATTCTCTGAACCTGTTCACACGTGTGTAAAAGGGAAGCAACACCACCAGTCCTAAAAGCTGCTGTGCAGAGAAGTTTTTCCACATCAAGTGCTCAGAATGATGCCTGGGACGGCACAGGCCCTTCATACATAATACATATTACTATCGTCACGCACAAAACCCTAGACCCTCCTGTAACCACAGAGGTGGCATCTGAATCCCATTTACTGGCAGGTGGATGGAGGCTTCAGGTCAGAGGTCCCAGTGCCACCAGGCCAGGGAAGAAGCCAGACTGAGCACCTGTCAGCCCCCAAAGCCACACTCCACACCCCCACCCTGCCCCCACACGCTCCACACCCCCAGCCATGCCCCCACACGCTCCACACCCCCAGCCATGCCCCCACACGCTCCACACCCCCAGCCCTGCCCCCACACGCTCCACACCCCAAGCCCTGCCCCCACACGCTCCACACCCCCACCCTGCCCCCTCGCGCTCCACACCCCCAGCCCTGCCCCCCCCCCTCCCCCACCCCTGCCCTATAAGCTGGCCTTTTAGACGCCTCGCTCCAAGGCTCCCAAGAACTGATAGGAAAACGGCCGGGCATGCTTGCTCACTCCTGTAATCCCAGCACTTTGGGAGGCTGAGGAGGGTGGATCACCGGAGGTCAGGAGTTTGAGACCAGCCTGGCCAATATGGCAAAACCCTGTCTCTACTAAAAATACAACAATTAGCCAGGCCTGGTGGTGGACGCTTGTAGTCCCAGCTACTTGGGAGGCTGGGACAGGGGAACTGCTTGAACCGGGGAGGTGGAAGTTGCAGTGAGCCAAGATTGCACCACTGCACTCCAGTCAGGGTGACAAGAGAGAAACTCTATCTCAAAAAAAAAAAAGAACTGATAGGATTGAAACATTTTCTTCCTATGAATTAACAGCTTGCATGTTAAAGCATGATTTTTCTGCAAAAAAAAAAAGATCATCTGAACGTGGTTTTGAAATCCTCCCATCTGAAGGGGTGGCAGCAGCTGGGGGCTGCGAATCAAGCACAGCAAAGGCCTCGGGGCCGGGCCCTGTGAGAGGAGCCCCGAGTCCTGGACTCAGGTTAAGGCTGATGCCCTCCAACCGTGCATCCCAGTGAAGATCCCGGAATGTTCTGGCAAGCTCAGCCACGTGCTCTGTCATCAAAAGTGCACAATGGCAGTCTTTTCCAAAATACTCAAAATGAGTGTGACAATGATTAGGATTTTCCCTTCCCTGTTAGACACTGTGGTCCTGCCAGTGTCTACCGGAGATATGCTAAGCCAGAGACCATGGTCAATCTTCCCTCCCTTGCAGCCTGGCGGGGCGACGGTGACCATGGCGCCCACCACCCAGCACACGTAGGACCGTGGCCCCAGGGCGCCGCTCACCCAGGTGGCCGTAGCCCACCACGTGCTTGGCATGTGGGCCAAGGCGGGCGCGCACGTCAGTCACGATGTCGTAGAGTCGCTCCACCGGGAGGGAGAGGTCGTACTTGTACACGTAGCCGTCTCGGCTCAGCGCCTCTGCGATCCTTTCCCTCAGGGCCCACAGCATCTAGAGGATGAGACGAGATGAGACAAGGGCTGGCTATGGGAACAGCACCCGGGGACGGGGGGCACACCACACGGGGTTAGGGCAGTGGCAAGTTCTGTATCTTCACCAGGTGTGGCTCCGACCCTGGAATCGACTCAGGACAGTGAATGCCCCAGACCAGGTGTGGCTCCGACCCCGACAGCAAATGCCCCAGACCAGGTGTGGCTCCGACCCCGACAGCAAATGCCCCAGACCAGGTGTGGCTCCGACCCCGACAGCAAATGCCCCAGACCAGGTGTGGCTCCGACCCCGACAGCAAATGCCCCAGACCAGGTGTGGCTCCGACCCCAGAATCGATCCGGGACAGTGAATGTTCCAGGCTCCACGACAGCACCGAGTACCCTGGGACTCCGGCAATCAGGCGGCCGGGACACCTCATAGGAGGTGGGCAGTGATGATGGAAGGGGGAGGCGCACACCCTGCAGCCTCAGGTCATGTCACGGCACAGAGTGGCAAGGGCCAGGGAAGGCCTTGGGGACAAGGATGGGCCCTGGACACTCCCTGAACCACAGAAGGGCAGGGTAGGAAAGGGGGCACAAAGAGCCACCCAGGCAGACGGGAAGACAGCAGGGCCCAGGCAGCTCAAGGGGCATGTCGGGGCAGGAGGGAGGGACATGGCGGGCGGGCCATGGGGAGGGAAGGACATGGTGGGTGGATCGTGGGGGAGGGAAGGACATGGTGGGCGGGTCATGGGGGAGGAGGGACACGGTGGTCAGGCCAAGAGGGAGGAAGGATTCTGAAGAGGAACAGACGGTGCTGGCAGCTGAAGCGGAACCTGGGGCCAAATCCTGGGGCTCAGATCAACTGGCCTGTGGTTTGCTGGGCTTTTACTTGCTTCCAGCTTTCATTGTGGAGATCTGCACCACAAGAAGACAGAGCCATCCTCCCTGGGCTGCAGGACCACCTCTCCCCTGCAGGGTCCCACCCAGGGCTCAAGCGCAGCACCTGCCCCTCCAGAGACCCCATCATTTCAGGAAATTCTTTTTTTTTTTTTTTTTTTTTGAGACGGAGTCTCGCTGTGTCTCCCAGGCTGGAGTGCAGTGGCGTGATCTCGGCTCACTGCAAGCTCCGCCTCCCGGGTTCACGCCATTCTCCCGCCTCAGCCTCCCAAGTAGCTGAGACTACAGGCACCCGCCACCACGCCCGGCTAGTTTTTTGTATTTTTAGTAGAGACGGGGCATTTCAGGAAATTCTAAGAGAAAGATTTGGCTGGGCGCAGTGGCTCACACCTGTAATCCCAGAGCTTTGGGAGGCCGAGGCAGGAGGATGACTTGAGCCCAGAGTTTGAGACCAGCCTGAGCCACATAGGGAGACCCCGTCTCTTAAAAACAATAAAAATTGGCTGGGCCTGGTGGCTCACGCCTGTAATCCCAGCACTTTGGGAGGCCGAGGCGGGCAGATCACGAGGTCAGGATATTGAGACCATCCTGGTTAACACGGTGAAACTCCATCTCTACTAAAAATACAAAAAATTAGCCAGCTGTGGTGGCAGGCGCCTGTAGTCCCAGCTACTCCAGAGGCTTTGGCAGGAGAATGTCATGAACCCGGGAGGCGGAGCTTGCAGTGAGCCGAGATTGCACCACTGCACTCTAGCCTGGGTGACAGAGCGAGACTCTGTCTTAAAAAAAACAAATAAAAATAAAAAACAAATAAATAAACATCAGCTGGTTTGGTGGTGGGCACCTGTAGAATCAGCTACTCAGGAGGCTCAGGCGGGAGGATCGCTTGAGCCCAGGAGGTCGAGGCTGCAGTGAGCTGCAACTGTGTCACTGCACTCCAGCCTGGGTGAGAGTGAGACTCTGTCTCAAAAAAAGAAAAAAGACTCTGTTTTTTTTGACATAACCACAATGTCACACTCACACTTAAAAAAAGAACAACTCCTCACCACCACTGGGAATCTAGCCAGTGTCCAAAATTCCCCCATTTCCCCACCACCAATTTTTTATTGTTTTGAAGTCTCACCATGTTGCCCAGGCTGGTCTCAAACTCTTGGGCTCAAGCGATCCTCCTGCCTCTGTTGGGAGCAAGTCCCCCAAAAACTGGCCATAAACAAAATCTCTGCAGCAATGTAACATGTCCATAAAGGCCATAAGGCCTAAGCTGGAAGGTTGTGGGTTTACGGGAATGAGGGCAAGAACACCTGGCCCGCCCAGGGCGGAAAACCACTTGAAGGCATTCTTAAGCCACAAACAAAAGCCTGAGCGATCTGTGTCTTAAGGGTGTGCTCCCTTGTTTCCCTTAAGGGATACTTTTAATGAATTTAATATCTATAGAAACAATGCTAAGGACTGGTTTGCTGTTAAATAAATATGTGGGTAAATCTCTGTCAGCTCTGAAGGCTGTGAGACCGGATTCCCCACTTCACACCTCTACGTTTCTGAGTGTGTGTCTTTAACTCCTCTAATGCCACGGGGTTCAGGTCTCCCGACCGAGCTGGCCTTGGCCTCCCAAAGCTCTGGGATTACAGGCATGAGCCACCGGCCGGTCCCTCTCATAACTTTTTAGAGCTAGTTTGGTGAGATCAGCACCTTGGGTCACGACATGCCCTGAGCAACCACCGCACCTTCTACGGACCCTTCGTCACAGAGGCACGGGCACGGCTGCAAGGCCGGCTTGCTGGGCACCTTGCTGCCTGCCGGGCCTTCTCACCTCATCAGACCAGCCGCCCCGTGTGTCCCTGTGGCCACAAGATGGGCTCTCCCCTTGCCTGCTCATGCCTCAGTCACTTGGCTCCATGCCCACCATCTCTGGAAGGTTCTAGAACATGGCAGGCACACGCCCCCTCAGGGCCTTGGTGCTCCTACTCCAGACTTTCTGCTCCCCACAACAAGTCTTTGCCGAAATGACCGGTCCCTCAGGGTCATCTTTCCAGCCCTCCTGGCACTCCCAGGCACACCCCATGACCCTGCCTGGCCCGGCCCTCCTCCCCGGCGCTTCCTGGCTCTGAGGGGCCATGGGCTGAGCTTGTTCCTTCTGCTGTGTGAGTTTCAGGGGTCAAGGCTTCTCCCGCCCTGGTCACTGCTGTCACCCAGCAGGAACACGGCACAGGAGGCATCTCCCTAACAGGTTTGCTGAGTGACACGTGACGGGTGGACAGGCATTGCCAATGAGACCCGCCGTGGTCACTACTCAGAAGAGCCCGGGGCGTCTGGCATAACCAGTGTGGCTTCCACTCAGGTGGGCTGAGGCTACAGCGGGGCCTGGGCAGGGCTGAGAGTCCCCCGTTAAACACAGGACCCCTGCAGCAGCGGCTGGACCTGTATAAGCCCCATTTTCTCAACATGTCCAAAAACCCAGGGCTCCCAGAAGGAAAGACCACAAAGTGGAAAGCAGAGAAGAATGGCTCAGGACCTGCCCACAGCCTCGCCAACGCCGGACAACAGCAGAGAAAGCCTCAGGGCAGCTGCGCACAAGCGCGTGTCCGGGTCAACCTGCCAAGCCGCACACCTAAGAAAGGGTGGTTTTGCCATCTGCAAAACACAAAGGCCAGATTACCCACCCGTGGAGCATGAGCCGGAATGAGGTACTGACAGACACGCAAAGTCTCTCCCAAACCTGTCCCAGGAAGCTTCTGGAGGTGACTTTGTGAACACAGGACCAGCCCCGCCCGGCCCTGTCCTGGTCATGAACCCGGCTCTGGGCATTAATGTTCAAGGCACAAGTCTAGGACTGGACCAGGCTGTGGAGGGGCTGGGGGCGTCGGGGACAGCCCGCCTGGGGGTGGTGTGGGGGATGATGTGCAGAGGCTGGGGGCGTGGGGGGCAGCCCGCCCTGGGGGTGGCATGGGAGCTGGTAGGGAGGTTGGAGGTGTCGAGGGCAGCCCTCCTTTGTGGGGGTCGTGGGGGCTGATGTGTGGAGGCCAGGGTGTCAGGGTAGCCCTCCTGGGGATGGTGGGGGTGCTGTATGACTGCCACCCCGGCAAAGCAGCCAGTGTGGGATGAGGGTCCCCGACTGCACCACCAAGGGCAGTTGGGCTCATGTTCCTGCCCCATCCCAAGCAGAAGCTGAGAGAAGCCCCGGCGGCCGTCCTGCTCTTTCTGCTGGGAAAACAGACTGGCCAGGCAGCTGCTTCAGCCCGGGCCCCTGAACTGGAAGGCACAGGAGCAGATGCAGCCACAGCGATCACCCACACAGAACACGAGGTAAGGTGAGCCTCTCTTCATGTGGTCACTGGGGCCTGGGGACTGCTTGTTATTGCAGCAGAATGTAGGGGAGCTGACTGTCACAGTCCACTGAGACAAATGCAGGAAAGGCAGGCAGAGACCTAGGAAGGACGCACACTTGATCATGCCTCTCAGTTGACAGAGACGGCATCACACAGCTGCCATTCACCCAGAGGATGCCCCTGGGCCAGGCACCGGGACACAAGAGTGAGGCCAGCCACCCGCACCCCAGCCCTTGGGAGCAGACACGTTTTTGACCAGAAGCAGTGGAATCAGGACAGTCAGGCAGCAAAGACGAGAGGGGATATGATAAGGGCAACACCCAGGCTACCCCGAGCCTGGAACCAACTAAGCAGGAGTAAAGGCCTGCGCTCACTGCCCACACCCTGGTGACGGTGACCGAGGGTGCCCGCTGCCCAGACCCTGGTGACGGTGACCGAGGGCACCTCCCACTGCCCAGACCCTGGTGATGACCGAGGGCGCCTCCCACTGCCCAGGCCCCAGTGAAGGTAACTGAGGGCTCCTCCCACCCAGGCCCTAGACGGTGACCGAGGGCGCCTCCCACTGCCCAGACCCTGGTGACGGTGACCGAGGGCGCCTCCCACTGCCCAGACCCTGGTGACGGTGACCGAGGGTGCCCACTGCCCAGACCCTGGTGATGGTGACCGAGGGCACCTCCCACTGCCCAGACCCTGGTGATGGTGACTGAGGGCACCTCCCACTGCCCAGACTCTGGTGATGGTGACCGAGGGCACCTCCCACTGCCCAGACCCTGGTGACGGTGACCAAGGGCGCCCACTGCCCAGACCCTGGTGACGGTCACTGAGGGCGCCTCCCACTGCCCAGGCCCCAGTGAAGGTAACTGAGGGCTCCTCCCACCCAGGCCCTAGTAACGGTGACCGAGGGCTACCATTATCCAAGCCCCGGTGACAGTGACCAAGGGCTCCCACTGCCCAGGCCCCCGTGGTGGTGACCGAGGGCTCCTCCCCTGCCCAGGCCCTGGTGACGGTAACCCAGGGCTCCCCCACCCCAGGCCCCAGTGACAATGACCGACGGCTCCCACAGCCCAGGCCCCGGTGATGGTGACCAAGGGCTGCTCCCACTGCCCAGGCCACAGTGACGGTGACCAAGGGCTCTCAGTGCCCCAGGCCTTGCCCCTCCTTCCTTTGGCATCCAAAAGGACAAATAATCTGGTAACACAGGCAAGGCCCCTTCCTCCAGAAAACTGCCCACCCTAGGACTCCCGGGGTCCGGGCTAAGCCTCCACAGCCCCAGGGGTTCCTCCTGCCTCCCCTCATTCCACACAACTCTAGGTACAGCTGCCGCTGACTGGCCGCTGAACCACAGGCTGCGGGGGACTGGCAATGGCGCAGTCCCCATGCTCATCCCACAGCATGGGGCTGGGGAGGGACATGGCAGGGAAGAAGTAGTTTTTAAATATTAATGAAAATGGCCTAGACACCAGGAATACATTTTCCATCCAAAGAGGCTACTCTCTTAAAGCCATGAAACCGAGTCACATTTCAGCCATACCCCACACTGTTTAGGCTGCACCAATGACCCTTCCAGGCATCCCGAGACAAGGCTGGACTTGACGGACAGAGAGGGGACCTGCGAGCAGAACATGGGGCACCTTGACTTTCGTCTGGTCGGTGGCCATGGTCCCGTCGGTCACCAGGCCGGAGCCCAGTGCGTGCTCCAGGAAGCTGCCCAGCTTCTCAGCATCATGGCCTGCGTTGGAGCCTGAAGTCTCGATGAGGACGTAAAATGGACTCTCTAGAAGTAAGTAAGGAAGGCAGAGTGAGCAGAGGCTCCGGCTTCCAGGGCAAGAATCAGGGCTGCTTGGGCGGAATGGCTGTGATAGCAACCACTGATCTTTCGAGGCCAAGAAGGACCCAGGCAGCCTGCGGAGCACACAGCTGTCCACTTGAGCTGACTTTCAGGAGGTTTAAAAAGTTGTCTTTGGCCAGGCATGGTGGTTCACACCTGTAATCCCAGCACTTCGGGAGGCTGAGGTGGGTGGATCACCTGAGATCACGAGTTCGAGACCAGCCTGGTCAACACGGCAAAACCCCACCTAAATTAGCCAAGTGTGGTGGCGGGTGCCTGTAATCAGAGCTACTCAGGAGGCTGAGGCAGGAGAAACGTTTGAACCCGGGAGGTGGAAGCTGCAGTGAGCCGAGACTGTGACGTTGCACTCCAGCCTGGGCCACAGTGAGAAACTCCACCCGGGAGGTGGAGGCTGCAGTGAGCCGAGATTGTGACACTGCCATCCAGCCTGGGCCACAGTGAGAAACTCCATCCCTCCACAGACAAAATTACTGGTTTTTCTCCCAGCATAAAAGTAAAACATGCTTACAGAAAGCAACGTGGGAAAACAAAGAAAAGTAGAAATGGAAAGAAAGTCTCCCCACTCACCAAAAATAGCCACTTAGTTCCTTCCTGTCCTTCTTGCAGATGATCAGGAAATCTGTGTAACTACAAACCTTACACAGGACCAGGGCACCCTATTCTTTGTCCTAAATATGTTAAGAGCAGCTTTCCTACACATGAGCCCAATAGCCACTCCACGCTCCGCCCAGGGACCCTCCACCCCCCAGGGCCTCTGAGCTGTCCCATATGTCCAGAGGTGCAGAAGGAGCTGCAGGACCAGCTGGCCCCTGAATGGGGGTCAGTACCTTGTACCGGGCTGGCCAGGTGGAGATAACGCCCGACCAGTTGCATGCACACAGCATCCATGAACTCGAATGCAGACAGGATCTCGCCCAGCATCCCCTTGCAGGTGCTGAAGGTCTGCAGAACCTCAGCAAAGCCTGGACAGCCTGAAACGGGTCACAGCACGTCAAGCACTGCACAGAGCCAAGCCCAGCCCACCCAAGTCCCCCTTCAAAGCAGCAACATCAGCCCGACTCATGTAGGGTGAGCTGGGCAGCCGCGAGGAGTGCAAGGGCTGGCGCTGCCAGAAACAGCCCAGGGTTCGCCCGGCAGGTACACGTCTGGTGTCACCACCAGCATTAGGAGGGGAAGGCGCCGAAGAACCACACAGCACCTGAGACAGCAGCAGTGGGACTCAGAGCGGGTATATCTTGGGAACTCTGCAAACACAGGGCCAGCAACAGGCAGCCTTTGGGAACGGCTGCATTTCTCTTAACACAGTCAGCACTCAGGTCTTCCCTGCACTCAGGACCTCATCCAGCAGGCGTTTACCGGACACCCTGAGCTCCCTGCGGTGCTCCAGAGTTGGGGGGCTACCAGCAAGGCCCCTGCCCTGGGGAAGCCGACCCTCAAGGATAAAGATGGAAAGGAACTGAGTGGGTGTCCACAGGTGGACAGCCCCAGAGATGCTGCAGCAGGAGGGGGGCCCTGCCCATCTTTCAGGGCGAGATGGGGCAGCAATGTGAAGGCACGTGGATATCAGAGAAGAATTTCCCAGAGAGAAGGTCTCACAAGTGCAGAGGCTGGAGGCAGACACCTGCACTGGGTGACACAGGAATACCTCGAGGTCTGTGACCCAAGCGCCATGATGGGGTGTGGCTGCAGACGCACAGAGGGCCGGCTGTGGGAGGTGTCGGTGGTGTGGGAGGGTCTGGCGGTGGCTGCAGGTGTCGGTGGTGTTGGAGGGCCTGGCGGTGGCTGCAGGTGTCGGTGGTGTTGGAGGGTCTGGCGGTGGCTGCAGGTGTCGGTGGTGTTGGAGGGTCTGGCGGTGACTGCAGACGCACAGAGGGCCGGGTGTGGGAGGTGTCGGTGGTGTGGGAGGGTCTGGCGGTGGCTGCAGGTGTCGGTGGTGTTGGAGGGTCTGGCAGTGGCTGCAGGTGTCGGTGGTGTTGGAGGGTCTGGCAGTGGCTGCAGGTGTCGGTGGTGTTGGAGGGTCTGGCGGTGGCTGCAGGTGTCGGTGGTGTTGGAGGGTCTGGCAGTGGCTGCAGGTGTCGGTGGTGTTGGAGGGTCTGGCAGTGGCTGCAGGTGTCGGTGGTGTTGGAGGGTCTGGCGGTGGGGACTTGGCATCTTGCTCAGAGTGGGTGGGAAGCCCCAGGAAGTGGGACAAGAGTGCCACGTGGGAAGTCGCCCCAGCTGCAGGAGGGCAGGAGCCAGGGCTGACCAGAGGGCCCTGCAGAGCCGGACTGAGCCCACGAGCACGCGGGACCCCAGGGCCATCCTCACAGGGGCCTGTTCTACACGGTTTAGATGTGGGTGCGGCACAAAGAGGCGACTGACTCCTCTCTGAGACCTGGAGGCAGGAAGAGCAGGATGCGGCAGCCGGGCTGGCCTCGGGCTCCCAGGACCACAGGCAGGTGGCACACAGGTGACTGCAGTCGGAGTGGGATCAGAGCAGAGAGCAGAAAACAGAAAATGTGGATGAAGAGGACCCGCTGATCCAGACAGCACTGCCCCCCAAAGAGAATCTGGCAGAAGCAGTCAGGGCTGCCCCAGCCGTTCCAGGGTCAGGGGTGAGGAGCCGCGCCAGGGGCTGAAGGTGGAGGGTGGGCAAGAAGGGGGTGTGGGGGCAGCATCACAGGCCAGGCTCGTGCCAGAGGCAATGGGCGAGAGGGGCAATGAGAACTGATGGCTGGGTTGGTGGTGGGAGGACAGTGAGTGGCAGCCTTGGTGGGAGGGGCACCAGTGAAGCGGGCAAGTCCTGATTAGGGCAGATCCAGGAGAAGGGGCCTCCACCCAGCAGTGATGGGCTAGGCCACGTGACCCAGCGCCCAGTGAAAACACTACGAACGCTGGGCCAAAAAATACCGAAGAAAAATGCTGAAGACGCCGGGCACGGTGGCTCAGGCCTGTAATCCCACACTCTGGGAGGCCGAGGCGGGCAGATCACCTGAGGTCAGGAGCTGGAGACCAGCCTGGCCAACATGCCGAAACCCTGTCTCTACTGAAAATACAAAAATTAGCTGGACGTGGTGGCGGGTGCCTGTAATCCCAGCTACTTGGGAGGCTGAGGCAGGAGAATTGCTTGAACCAGGAGGCAGAGGTTTCAGTGAGCCGAGATCGCGCCACTGCACTCCAGCCTGGGCGACAAGAGTGAGACTCTGTCCCAGAAAAAAAAAACACGCTGAAGAGCGTCAAGGGCAAGGGAAGAGCCTGACCTGGGGGCTAAGCAGCACCAAGCCCAGTGCCGCTCTTGGCCAATAGCCCTTGCCCCACCAGCAGGTTTGGCCTCAAGCTTCCCAGCCCACCCAGAGTGAGGAGTCCAGGAGACCTCCACAGGGCCACATCTTAGGAGTCAGGGCCAGAAGCAAGCCTGTCCCAATCAACTTGCCCCGAAGACTGCAGGGGAAGTGGTTGAACAGAATGAGAAAAACGCAGAATGGAGCTCGGCGCAGGCGTTCATGCCTGTGGCCCCAGCATTTTGGGAGGCCAAGGCAGGAGAATTGTTTGAGCTCAGGAGTTCAAGACCAGCCTGGGCATCACGGTGAGACCCTGTCTCTACAAAACAATTTTAAAAATTAGCCAGGCATGGTGGTACACACCTGGTCCCAGCTACTTGGGAAGCTGAGGCAGGAGGATCCCTTCAGCACAGGAGGTCAAGGCTGCAGCGAGCCACGATTGCACCACTGCACTGCAGCCTGGGTGACAGAGCGAGACCTTGTCTCTCAAAAATATGCAGAAGAGTAATATTTAAAAAAAAAAAAAAACTTTCCTGATAAATCATGACCCTCGATCAGCCCTACACAGCCCTACACTGACTTGCTGCCTGGGAGGTTCACAGAATTTCATCCTATGAACTTGGTCACTCCCAGGCTGCACAGACCCAAAGCCCCCTAGCAAAAGCAGAAACAAACCCTCTCTGGAGGAAGGTGCTTTGTCTTTGGCATCTAGGAACCCCTACGAATAATTCTTCAGACGTAACGAGCTGAACACTGCCACAGCCAGCAGGAACCCCTACGAATAATTCTTCAGACGTAACGAGCTGAACACTGCCACAGCCAGCAGGAACCCCTACGAATAATTCTTCAGACGTAACGAGCTGAACACTGCCACAGCCAGCAGGAACCCCTACGAATAATTCTTCAGACGTAACGAGCTGAACACTGCCACAGCCAGCCAAGCACAGAGAAACTAAGGAGCCAGGAGGGTGAACCAGCAGGAACAACAGACACTAAAACAGACCACACAGGCTGGTGCAGTGGCTCAAGGCTCAAACAGACCACACAGGCTGGTGCAGTGGCTCAGGCTCAAACAGACCACACAGGCTGGTGCAGTGGCTCAGGCTCACACCTATAACCCCCACACTTTAGGAGGCCACGGTGGGAGGATCGTTTGAGCCCAGGAGTTCAAGAGCAGCCTAGGCAACATAATGAGACCCTGTTTCTACACACAATTTTTAAAAAATTACCTAGGCATGGTGGTGTGCACCTGTAATCCCAGCTACTCAAGAGGATGGCTTGAGCCCAGGGGCTATGATCACACCACTGCACTCCAGCTTGGGCAACAGAGTGAGACCTTGTCTGTAAAAAAACTTCTACAGACTGACTACAGACTTGAAAAAATGGAATTGCCTGATTATAAAACATCATAAAAAATTATTCAAAGTTTTTTTTTTTTTTTGAGACAGAGTCTCGCTCTGTCACCCAGGCTGGAGTGCAATGGTGCAATCTCAGCCCACTGCAACCTCTGCCTTCCGGTTTCAAGCGATTCTCCTGCCTCAGCCTCCCAAATAGCTGGGATTACAGGCATCCACCACCATGCCCGGCTAATTTTTGCATTTTTAATAGAGACAGCGTTTCACCCTGTTGATCAGGCTGGTCTCGAACTTCTGACCTCGTGATCTGGCTGCCTCAGCCTCCCAAAGTCCTGGGATTATAGGTGTGAGCCACTGCGCCCAGCCTAATTTTTGTACTTTTAGTAGAAATGCGGTTTCATCATGTTGGCCAGGCTGGTCTCAAACTCCTGACCTCAAGTGACCCACCCACCTCGGCCTCCCAAAGTGCTGGGATTATAGACGACAAACTATGTTTAAAGACACAAATGGTGAGCTTGAGAATACCCAGAATAAAAAACTATAAAAAGTGACATTGCAGATTTTGAAAAAAATAATACAACTTCTAGAAATAAAAAACTTTCATAATCAAAATGTAAAACTCAATGGACAGAGCGAACCATCCATGGAGGGGTTCAGCAGCATATAAAACACAGCAGAAGGGGGCATTCGTGAACTGGAAGACAGATGAGAAGAAATCACGCAGAATGCAGCACAGAGACACGATGACGACAATACGGAGGGGAGATTAAGAGACACAGAAGACGGACGAGACGTTCTATCCTGAATCACATTCCCAAAAGGAGAGGAAAACACAGGCAATATCTGAAGCAATAACGGCTAAGAATTTCTAGAACTGGTAAAAGATGCCACGTCACAGGTTTAAGAAATTCAGTAATTCCAAAGAGATGAAAAAGAACTAACACCACACACTGAAAACTTTAGAAGATCAAAAAGAGTGATGTTTAAAGTGGCCCACAGGGGGCCGGGAGAGAGGCAGAATCCCCTCACAGCAGCGCCTACAGACAGTGAAGTACCCAACAGCGAGGAGGCCAGAGGACAGGGGGCGGCATTTCCACCGAGATGAAAGAAAACGAACGACAGCCTGCAGCCGTGTGCCTGCGGAGAAGAGCCTTCAAAAATGAGGGTGAAATAAAGGTATTTTCAGACACACCAGAAGGGAGGAAGTGGTCACCAGGAGACCTTTACCTCAGGAAACGAACGAGGATCTGTTTGCAACATACTCCCAAACGGAAGAGCGGACGCAAGAGAGTGGAAGGCAGAGACAGTGGCCATAAAATAACAATCCTGGTGAGATTGTTTAAATACGGAACACACATCACAAGATGTAAGTGCTGAGGGAACAAGCGGAGTCTCAGCAGCCTCCAGGGCTGCCCAATCTTCTGGCAGCTCAAGACACTGAACTGGGAGTCGGTGAGCTAGACCCGCCACCACTCACGCGAAGACCGCTGGGCTGTGCGACTTCTGAACCCCTGAGGAGGAGATGCTCGATAAACCCGCCCGATTCAAACGAAGCAAGAAAGGAGACAAAGGCACGTCCCAGGAGAACCGAAGAAGCGGCCGTGAGGAAAGCAGGCCTGTGGAGACACGGCAGCAGGCAGGTCTGCTGAGACCCCCAGTCTGGGCTGACTAGGGAAGACCCCCATTACAGAAGCTTTATCCCCACGGTAACTAAGAGTGGTGTCCTGAACTGATGCCAAATGACAGCACATCCCTCAATCTTACACCACAAGCTACTTAACTAACACAATGCGGTGAAGGAGGCAACACAAGCCTCAGTTTTGCTATGAAATGAAGTGTCCTCTGACCAGAGACAGAGACAGGCCTTACTCCAGACCTTTACCCACGACCACCAGGAAAGCCAGGTCCTGGATTTGATTCCCTTGGAAGCAGAGATGTCAGGAGATACGGGAACCGACAGTCCTGGGGGGGTCCCTCCATCCCCTTCCTCACACCAGCACCGTTAGAGCAGACGCTCGAGCCCAACTCCCCATCTCAAGGCACAAATCGAGGAAGCCCACCGAGGAAAGCCACGTTCACAGCCCTGGGCTTGGGTGGACACAGGATGGACACTGCAGTGATGACCCCCAAAGTGCCCTCCGACCCGATGAACAGCTGCTTCAGGTCATAGCCCGTGTTGTCCTTCCTCAGGGAGGTCAGGCAGTCCAGGATGGTGCCGTCGGCCAACACCTGGGGGCGAAGAGAAGCGCGTTCACCCGCCTGCCAGCCTCCTGACACCGCGTCGGTCGCCTCCGGGGCCAGGTGACACTGCTGCAACGGCCTGCGGTCATGCCAAGAGGCTGACGGATGGACTTTCCTCCCATACGAGTGACACCCCCCACACACAGCAGCTCACTGCCCAGGGGGCACGCCCAGGGTTGGGGGCAGTGGGGAGGCTCCCCGGGAGTAGGGCATTGAGAAAGCAGAAAAGAGCCAAGCCCAGGACCCAGCCACCTCCGGACCCACCAGCCATAAGGCAGCAAAGCTCCCGAGCTGCGGGCCTCTCCGTGTCCTGTGTGCTGGTACTGGGAGTCGGAGGCGTCTACAGCTCATGAGTGCAAGAAAGTAATTTATAATAAAGATAATCAGTGGCTGGCCAGAATAAAAGCTACTGGAGCGTCATAATTTACTGGATGGCAGCAAAGCATGGTTTTGTGTTTGCTTCGTCCACGTGGGTAAACAGGACAGAGAGCTCTGCCTGTGACACTCGGCTGGTGAGGGTGCGGGGAAATGGAGGGGCCCTGGAGGAACAGCGGTCGACACAAGGTCACAAAGCTGACCCTGAATGAACCTTCCTTCACACTCAGCTTCCGGAAGCCCACCACTGCCAGGGCGGCGGCCCCTGTAACTGCATCCTCTCCGTGTGGCCCCGAGGCAGTGGACACAAAATCACTCTCTCATGGGAGGGCAGGGCAGGGCCAGGCCTCCCTCAGGATGGGGGTGTATGTAGCCCGCACGTCCCTGAGGGGCCCAGGGCCAGGAACCAAGACCTCCCACCCCGAGGGGCCCCATGCACCTACACCACCACGTGGGCCCACGAGAGCCGCGAGAGGACACCCCATGGCCACCTCTGCGCCAAGCGGCTGCCCCAGCTCACCACTTCCAGGCCCAGGACAGTCCCATGCAGTGAGCCGTATCGAAGAAACCGCAGGCCCCCGGCGTTGGTTGCCACGTTTCCCCCGATGTGGCAGCTGCCCTTGGCTCCTAAGTCCAGCGGCATGATAAAGTCCCGTTCCTCCACGTAGTGGCTCAGCTCCTCCAGGACGCAGCCCGCCTGGCAAACCAGAATTCCTGCAGAGAGCGACCAGGCTGCCACAGCACTCGGCTTCCAGTGGGCCCGGGGCTGGTGGGGCCCACCCCCATCCCGCACAGGCAGGCCACCCAGAAGGAACATCAGCCTCAGCGCCAGGGCCGAGGAGAAGAGGCGCCCCCACATCGCTGGCCCAAGGCTGAAAACATCCGGGCCTAACAGGACCTTTACGATTATAGTGACACAAAAGAAAAATGGGTAACATGAAAAGAGAGGGAAAAACTTCCCACCCACACACATGCTCCTGGAAAGGAGCAGAACGGGGAAGATTCTCGGCTGGGGCTGATCCTGGCCCTGGGCACGTGGGACAGTGTCTGGAGACATTCTGGGTTGGGGGTGCCGTGGGCACCTCGTAGGCAGAGGCCAGGGATGCTGCTCAACACCCTACAGTGCAGGTGCCTGACCAGAAGTGACCGGGGCCTGGAGCCCGGCCTTGTGGGGAGAGGCCCAGCTCCAGAGCAAGACCCTGGCACCCTGGGTCTGCCGCGCCACGTGACCACAGGATCCCCTCACGTCTGCCACGCCCTGGCGCCCTGGGTCAGGATCCCCTCACGCCTGCCACGCCCTGGTGCCCTGGGTCAGGATCCCCTCACGCCTGCCACGCCCTGGCGCCCTGCGTCTGCCGTGCCATGTGAGCACAGGATCCCCTCTGCCTGCCACTCTGCACCACACATACCTCCAGAGCGGGCTGGAGCTAGAAGGGACCGGAGTGACAGCCCTCACCATACGTCATCAAAGTGACCCCACAGCAGGCATGTCTGGAGGGGCTAGGCGAGGTGGGGCTGGGCGGCCAGGCTACAGATGCTGGTTCTTTCCCCAGCCCCGTCCCTGACTCATTTGCCCACCCAAGCACTGTGAGTCGCAGACGCTGGCAAGGAAGAACTCCACCAGCACCAGGAGGGACACCTGGGCCCCGAAGGGCAGCACAGGCTTACCAGACACACTGTGGAAGCTGAGGACCTTGTTCATGCGGGCAGTGGAGAGGATGATCTCGTCAAAGACGGGGACGCTGCCACCCACCATGCCTGTGTTGCCCCCCTGCGGGTTCACGGCCAGGTTCCTCTCGTGGCAGTGCCTGGGATGAGGACAGGAGGGACATCGGGGCTCTGTCCCCACCCCCACGCCACCATCCCCAAGGACACGCCACAGGACCAGTGCCTGACCCCAAATCCTGATTACTCTGCTCTGTCTGCAGCCCCGGCGGCGGTTCCTCCCCAGCCCACGCATGTGAGGGATTCTGAGGAAGGACAGATGCCAATCCAGGAGCCGTGCACAGGGTGACGGAAGTGGAGGCCCCGATTCTAATGTCCTAAAAGACTTCCCGCACAGGACAGAACGTCCTACACGCCCCGCTCCCATCCTTCCCGTTCACACTGTGGTCACAGAGGGCCCAGCTCAGGGCTCCTCGACCGCACTGCCCCCACCCCCTTCCACCCTCTGCCTGCATCTCCCCAGCCTTGGCCCGTCATCCCCCAGATGTGTGCCCAAGGATACCTCCCTCCCAACCAGTCTGCACCTTTGCAAAGCCCCAAAGCCTTGAGCACACCCAACGGGTAAGGGTTTGGAGAAACCAAAGCTCCCTGACCTGGAGAGAGGAATCTGCCCACGTACATTAAATAAACCCTGGAGGCAGCAAGCCCCAGGGATGGAGTTTAACAGAGTAAGTGCAAATTGCCACAAAGTACCTGCTGAGGATGATCTAAAGCACTGTCTACAATCATGGAAACCTGGAGACCAGTGCCACCCTGTAGCGTGTCCATGGGGGAGGATCTTTGCTGTTACAGATGGTGCCAAGAAATGTGCAGGGGCATTGCCAAATGGGGGGAAATGATTACACACCATAGATGCATTGATATAGCACTTAAAAACCACAGAACAAACACTGAGACACACAAACCAAGATGTCATCGGCTGGCTTCACACCGCGTCACCCCAGCTGCCCACAGGCTCCACGAGGAAATGACCGGCAGGCAACACAGAAGGGCTTGGGGGAGCCGGGCGCCACCACCTCACCTGAGGATGTGGGACACCTCCTCCGAGGTCCGTGGCCTCAGCAGCACCTTGCTAGAGCCTGTGACAGGAAGGAAACTCCGTGAGACAGCGTGGGGGGAGCTGCAGATGAGGCAAGTGGGCGCTCTCCTCAGAGTGAGCTTTTTTCTTTTGGAGACGGAGTCTCACTCTGTTGCCCAGGCTGAAGTGCAGTGGCACGATCTTGGCTCACTGCAACCTCTCCCTCCCGGGTTCAAGCAATTCTCCTGCCTCAGCCTCCCGAGTAGCTGGGATTACAGGCACCCGCCACCACACCTGGCTAAATTTTGTATTTTTAGTAGAGATGGGGTTTCACCACGTTGGCCAGGCTGGTCTTGAACTCCTGACCTCATGATCTGCCCACCGTGGCCTCCCAAAGTGCTGGGATTACAGGCGTGAGCCACCATGCCCAGCCCCCAGACAGTGATCTTATTTGGGAAGCTGAGGAGAGAGAATCACCTGAGCCCAGGAGGTCGAGGCTGCAGTGAGCTATGATCGCAACACTGCACTCCAGCCTGGGTGACAGAGCAAGACCCCGTCTCAAAAAAACCAAAACTAGGTCCCACGTGGTAGGTGGCAGGCCGGGCACTGGGCAGTGTGCAGAGGTGGGTGAGGCTGGGCCCATGGATGAGAGTCCCACAGGCCAGGCATTGGCGGCTCTGAGGTTGCCCACCCACTTGTGGTGAGGTCAGCTCGGTTCCATGGTAACGGGCTGTCTGCAGGCTTCCCTCCTGCCACGCCACCACACTTCGTTTCGTGATGTGTGTGCACCTCACACGCAGACACTCGAGACCTTGTGGACATCCTGTCGCTCCTCAAGCTTCACCCATTAACATCTTTGATTATCTTAGACTGAATCAGTTACTAGGATGGTTGCCAACGAGTGATTTTCCTAAATCCAGTCGTCCACCTACATTTCCTTTTATTTCTTTTGAGCCAGGGTCTCACTCTGTCACCCAGGCTGGAGTGCAGTGGTACAATCACAGCTCACTGCAGCCTCAAACTCCTGGGCTCAAGTGATCCTCCCACCTCAGCCTCCCAGGTAGCCGTGGGACAACAAGTGCCTGCCCCACCACGCTCGGCTAATTTTGATATTTTTAGTAGAAACAGAGTTTTGCCATGTTCCCCAGGCTGGTCTTGAACTCATGGCCTTAAGCAATCCACCCACCTCAGCCTCCCTAAGGGCTGGGGTTACAAGCATGAGTCGCTGCGCCTGGCCTCTTAGCTGACTCTGCCACAAGGGAGGGCTTTCCCCTCGCTCCCACTGACATGTTTATGTAGCTGCTTATTCACAGTGATGAGTGTTCTCGGCTTCTCATTTTATTCACTGGGCCGTAAGTCTTGGCTGCCTTATTTGCTGAGTGCCTGGATGTGACCAATGGGAGCCCTCTAAGCTAGTTGGCCGGCGTTGCTAACCACTGCTGCCCCAAGTGAGCTGGCGTCTTTCTGCCTTTGGGTTTCCTTGAGATGACTTTCCCAGGTGATGGGGGCCGCAGACAGACAGCAAGTGCAGTCACAGGTGCCTGTCACCTCTTCACGGAGCTCTGAGAACCAGGCTGTGGTGTCCACTTTACTTTTCTGATCGGAAAGCCTCTTAATCTCTCTTTCATCAAACCAGCAATGTTTGCAGAGGGGCCTGCTGGGTGCCTGGGCCTTGGCCGACACTTCAGCGCAGCACCTGAGGGAACTGTGGCACCTGCGCTCGCTGCATCCCTGTCCCCAACTCAGCCCGGGAGCCCCAGGACTCATGGCAAAGCTTTCGACTTGGGCACACTTGGGACGCACCTGTGACAGGGTTGTCAACACATACATGAATGCGCCCCAGAATGCAGGCCAGGCCGCATTCCAGACACAGAATGCGGACAGAAGGACAGAATTTCCCACTCCTGTGATGTTTACCTTCTAACGGGAAGGATAACAAGGACGGCTCCCTCCCAGTGGTCCAGTGTTAACGACGGGAGCCCCACAAAGAGAGAGGGGGCCGTGGGGGCAGAGCCGCCAGAGGTGACACAAGGGTCCAGCCTGTTTTCACACCGCGAAGCCCCTACCCTCCCGCCAGTGCAGGCACGCCCACTAAACGTCTGCAGCATCCATCCGGAGCAAATGGTCTAGAGTTTTGAATATGATGCTTAATGAGTTTTCAGAAGTCCAGACACGCTCTCTCTCCGAAAGCAAGCCACACTAAGGGGCAATTCATCTAAAATTCAACAACTAAGCCTCACCTCAGTAAACACCTACTGAGCAGACATTCAGGACCAAACCTGTGGACTCAAAGATGACTGAAATTCAGCCTTGCCCTCACCAAACTCCGGGCAGCAGGATGCAGAGGAAGGTGCCCTCCCACAGGCGCACACAGACACTGAGGGGCGGCCCTGCAGCAAGACAGGGTGTCCATGGCCACGGACATCCAAAAAGGGTGCTGACTGGAGAGAGGGGTCCCAGGGGGACAGCCAATTCTTGCCCAGTCAGGCTCAGGCAAGGCAGGGGAGAGGAATAGTGTGGCCACCCCTCAATCTCAGTTATAGCTTCCACCCCTCTCCTGCAAGCCCTGGGAGAGCCCCCTTGCCCACTAGGGCAGCAGCAGCATAGCCCAGGGTGCTGGCCTCTGTGCAGGCTGGGAGCACGGGAATCCAAGCCTTGTGCTCGAGGCTCACGCCAGGTTCCTGCCCCACTCACCCACATGGTGTTCCCAAGGCAGTGGCTCCAAGCCCCATTTTGTAGGGCAGGCACTGAGGGTCAACTGCCTAGGGTCACCCAGGCAGCAGTGCTGAGCCAGGACTGGGGCCTGACTTAGCCAAGCCCAGAGTGGGCGTCCATCCTCACCTGGCTCCAGGGACAACACTCATGAGCCCGCAGGCCCTGGGCCATGGTGGACGCTCAAGGCTGCAGCTGGAGATCGCCCCAGAGGGATCCTTATTTAGGGAGCAGGGTGAGGGTGGGGGCCGTTCCACTCAAGAGAGCTCCTACGTAGTGACCATTGGTCTAGCGATTTCCAGTAACTCCCAGCCTTTCTGCAGGGAAAGAGCTGCTTCCATTATCTGAGCCTAGACCCCAGTTCAACTTGCTAACTTTCTGAACTGTTTTAACATACACTGCACTCCCAGATTACATGGTCTGGAAACTCTGAGTGTTCTTAATACTTTCAATCTTCTACAAGGGCCAAAACAACAACAACAAAAAGATTAAAAAAATTTCAGATCTTCCCAATGACAGCACACCCTACGTTCAGCCCCAGGACCTGGTGCCAGTGCTACAGGTTTAAATATATCATTTTGTTGTAAATTAGAGTCAACCAATTCTCTTCTACCTCACTTTACTATTTTAGCAAGAACACCATGTTGATTTTTTAAAATTGTGTAAGCACGTAGGTTATGTTATCTCAGAAATCATTTTTTTCTATCACCCAGGTTAGACAGCAGTGGTACCGTCACAGTTACTGCAGCCTCAACCTCCCAGGCTAAAGCTGTCCTCCCACCTCAGCCTCCCAAGCAGCTGGGACCACAGACACACGCCACCACATCCAACTAATTTTTAATTATTTGTAGAGATAGAGTTTCACCATGTTGCCCAGGCTGGTCTTGAACTCCTGGGCTCAAGCGATCTCCCACAGAACTGGGTTACAGGTGTGAGTTGCCACACCAGCCTGCAATCATTTCATAAGAGAAAACTGGGTTAGGCGTGGTGGCTCATGCCTGTAATCCCAGCACTTTGGGAGGCGGAGGTGTGTGATCACCTGAGGTCAGGAGTTCGAGACCAGCCTGGCCAACATGGTGAAACCCTATCTCTACTAAAAAAATACAAAAATTAGCTGGCTGTGGTGGCGGAGGCCTGTAGTCCCAGCTACTCAGGAGACTGAGACGAAAATCACTTGACCCCAGGAGGTGGAGGTTGCAGTAAGCGGAGATTGTGCCACTGCACTCCACCCTGACAGGGCAAGACTCAGTCTCAAAAAAATAAATAAAATAAAAATAAGAGAAAACTGGGCACTGTTACCAAAAGGAAGTGCCAGCCCCGGAGGCTGAGAAGTTCCTCATTCATGCACAGACTTGTAAGCCAGTGGGCAGGAGTGCAGTGGGAGGAGAGGAGCAGGCGTGGCCAGCCAGGAGCCCTTCATCTTACCTAGTGGGTTCCAAAAAGATATGTCCGCTTCCCAATGCCCCAGGACCTGTGAATGGGACCTTATTTGAAAAAACGGGGCTGGGCGCAGTGGCTCATGCCTGTAATCCCAGCACTTTGGGAGGCCGAGGCAGGCAGATCACAAAGTCAGGAGATCGAGACCATCCTGGCTAACACTGTGAAACCCTGTCTCTACTGAAAATACAAAAACAATTAGCCGGGCATGGTGGCGGGCACCTGTAGTCCCAGCTACTCAGGAGACTGAGGCAGGAGAATGGAGTGAACCCAAGAGGCAGAGCTTGTAGTAAGCCGAGATCGCGCCACTGCACTCCAGCCTGGGCAATAGAGCGAGACTGCGTCTCAAAAAAGAAAAAAGAAAAAGAAAAAATGGTCCAGCTGAGCGCCGGGGCTCATGCCTGTCATCCCAGCACTTTGGGAGGCCAAGGTGAGTGGATCACCTTAAGTCAGGAGTTCAAGACCAGCCTGGTCAACATGGTGAAACCCCGTCTCTACTAAAAATACAAAAATTAGCCGGGCGTGGAGGCGGGCGCCTGTAATCCCAGTTACTTGGGAGGCTGAAGCACGAGAATTGCTTGAACCCAGGACGGGGAGGTTGCAGTGAGCCGAGATCGCACCACTGCACTCCAGCCGGGGCAACAAGAGCGAGACTTCATCTCAAAAAAAAAAAAAAAAGGAAAAACAGTCTTTGCAGGTGTAATTAAGTTGACAGTACTGAGATGAGATCATCCCGATTAGGTGGGCCCTCAATCCAATGAGAAGTGTCTTTATAAGACAGATGGAGAAGTGTCACAGAGAAGAGAAACCTGTATGAAAAACAGGCAGAGACTGGAGTAATTTGGTACCTGGGGCCACTAGAAGCTAGAAGAGGCAGGAAGGAGCCTTCTCTGGAGGCTTTGGAGGGAGTGGAGGGAGTGCAGCCCTGTGATACCCTGATTTCACACTTTTGGCCTCCAGAGCTTAAAGAATAAACTTGTGGGGTTTGGTGGGGAGGGGAATTGTTTTGTTTTAGAGATGAAGTCTTGCTGTGTTGCCCAGGCTGGAATGCAGTGGTAAGATCACACTCCACTGCAAACTTGAACTCCTGGGCTGGAGTAACTTTGTTACTGTTTGTTTTTTTAATCCTGGGCTGGCTAATTTTATTTATTTTTATTTTTAGAGACGATGGGGGAGAGGCGGGGGGGTGGGGTCTTGCTACGTTGCCCAGGCTGGTCTTGAACTTCTGGCTTCAGCCTCCAGGGCAGCTGAGAATACTGGCAAAGCCACTGCGCCCGACAAAGTTGAGTTGCTGGCCGGGCGGAGTCGGAGTGGCTCAGGCATGTAATCCCAGCAATTTGGGAGGCAGAGGTGGACGGATCACGACGTCAAGAGACCGAGACCATCTTGGCCAACATGGTGAAACCCTGTCTCTACTAAAAATACAAAAATTAGCGGGACGTGGTGGCGGGCGCCTGTAGTTCCAGCTACTAGGGAGGCTGAGGCAGACGAATCACTTGAACCTGGGAGGCGGAGGTTGCAGTGAGCCGACATCGTGCCACTGCACTCCAGCCTGGCGACAGGGTAAGACTCCGTCTCAAAATAAAATAAAATAAAATAAAAAAATAAAAACTTGGGTTGTTCTAAGCGACTCGTTCGTGGTCCTTTATTCCAGCAGCCTGTGGCGGTGCACACGCCCCTCTCAGCGCAGCCAGGGGCTGGCACCCCCACCCAGCTCGTTCTCAGCCCGATTTGAAGCCTCCACCAGAAGGCGCAGGAGAGCAGGGACGCGGCCCCGCCGCAGCTTCCCAAGCCTCACCCACCTCGCAGCGTCCGTATCCAGTCCACGTTGGGAGCCTGCAGCGCCTCCGGGTCCGTGACGACCCCGCCGGGCACGATGCGCTCAAAGGCGGCCAGGTCCTGCTCAGACACCGTGGAGAACGGCAAGCGCCGCACGGGGTAGCGCTCCCGGGTCAGCGGCACCTCCGGGGTCCCGGGGGCGGAGCAGCAGCCCCTGCGGGCCAGGGGGCCAACCAGCCGACCCCAAGAACCCGCGGCTCCCGGGGCACAGGCCCCGCGCGGCCCTGGGGGACACCGGAACAACCACGCGGGCCGCGCCAGCAGCTGACGGGGCAGCATCGCCGCCGGGACGGAGGCCTCGGGCACCTCCTTCGGGGCGAGGCCGGTACTCAGGGCCCGGGGGGCAAGGGCCGGGAGCTGCTGGCTGCGCGCCTGGAAATGGCCAAGGGGAATTTCACGTTTTATGCACATTGTACAAGGTGAAAAACGCTTGCAGAAGCAGGGAGAGGGGCAGGAGGGCAGCGAAGGGGAAGGCTCCGAGCACCCGGGCCCTCCCCCGGCCCGGCCCGCAACCCCGCGAGCGCGCGAAGCCCCCGCAGCCGGCCTGGACTTAGCGACACGCAGGCTCGCGGCGGCCTCGCCGGCACCTGCCCCGGACCCCAAGCCTCCACGCTCGCCCCCAAGGGGACCCCGCGGACGCGCGCGCGTTCCACGCAGTCACGTGACGAGCTGCAGTGCCGCCCCTACCCCCGCTCACAGGCACAGATTGGCTGACGGCGCCCGAGATCGCGCCCCGCGACCCCCACCCGCCGTGGAACCGCAGCCCGGGACCCTCAGCCAAGCGCTCCGGGCGGCCGCGCGCACGCACCCGCGACCACGTCCCGGGTTCCAACCCTCAGCGACCGCCGCAGGCCCAGAGCCGCTAGGCCGGAGTGGGTGGGCGACGCCGCGCCTGCGCATTGACGGCTCCGCCCTGCCATCGAAGCCCCGCCCCGCGCTCCTAACAGGTCCCGCCCCCTCGTCATTCCCGCCCTCCAGGCCCCGCCCCGCCGTCCAAGCCCCGCCCCGACTGGCTTCGGCGGTCCCTCGTCCTGCGTTCCCTGAGGGCCTCCGGCGTCCAGGCTGTCGGGCGCCTCCCTTCAGGTAAAGGACGGGACTAGGCTGAGCGCAGCCCAAGACGCCCAAGCAGCAGCCGGAGCGTTCTCCAGAACGAGGCCCGGTACGGGGGCTCGGCTGAGGGACCTGGGGGCCGGCCCGCTCCTCCGAGGCCGTGCCCAGGGGGCGCCCCTTTCGCCAGCGGCCTCCCTCCCCCAGCTCCTGCACGGACCACCCCTCCTGGGCCCCCAGCCTTAGCTTAGGGGGCAGCTACCTCCTGCAGGTGTTTTCTTGCCTCCGTGTCCGCTTCCGCCTGTTCAGCCCTCCGTGCCCTCAAACCCTTCGCACACCTGGGGAGCTCCTGGCCTCCTGACGCAGTACCTGCTGCCCCGAGGAGCCTCCCGGCCTGGGCTCCCCTTCCTGAGGCATCGCCAGCACTTGTTTTGTGGGTTTTCGAGACAGGGTCTAGCTCTGTTGCCCAGGCTGGAGTTCCAGGGGTGATCTCAGCTCACTGCAACCTCTGCCTCCCGAGCTCAAACCATCCTCCCACCTCGGCCACCCAA